TCAGAACCCCTACTTGGAGGATCTTGGGACCTTAGGGCTTAGTAAGTTGGGTTACAAGTACCCTAATTGGGGTTTAGGGTTTAGGGTTTAGGGTTTAGGGTTTAGGGTTTAGGGTTTACTTGGAGGATCTTGGGACTTAGTAAGTAGGGTTAAAAGTACCCTAACGGGGGTTATAAGTATAGTTACCTTGTCTATAACCTCAGTTACTAAGTCCCATGATCCTTTAAGTAGGGTTTGGTTATCTGGGTTTTGTGGCTTGGAACCTGGAAGCCCAGTCTGCATAATTGCATTGTGCCACCTCGGAATAACAAGGGATAGCAAGGGTTTAGGGTTGCGGGTACCTGAGGGTCAGAGTGGGCAACTTAGATCGAGGCCTCTGACTACTTCATAGACCTCAAACCCTAAACCCAAACACCTTCGGTATTAACCCCAAGTCTTAACCCCTATACCGTTGTCAGGGCGGTTTTGTTTTTGCCGTCGATCTGTAGGAAATTAGTCCCGGGCCCCTCTAACATCTCAAACGTACACCCTCAACCCAAAATCCTACCCCAAACCTAAACCCTAAACCCCTAAACCACCCAAACCCTAAACCCAAAACCCCCAAAAACCTAAACCCTAAACCCCTAAACCCCTAAACCCTAAACCCTGCAGACAAGGGAACTGGGAAAGGGCTGCTCCGCCAGAACACCAGCAATTTGGCTAGTGCCATGAGTGCCAGCAGCCTCTTCCTCGCTGGGGTTTGGGGTTTAGGGTATAGGGTTTAGGGTTTAGGGATTTTAGGGTTTAGGGTTTAGTACAGGGTTTAGGGATTTTGGGGTTTAGGGTTTAGGGCACTAGCCAGCAGCCTCTTCCTTGCTGATGGCGTTGAGGTTCGGGGTTCAGGGTACAGAGTCGTCCTCGATGACGGCCGCGGGGTTTAGCTTCAGGGCATCACGCCCTGAGTGTAAATCCCAACCGCCGGCCCGGACCGGCCCGCAAGCCTAAACCTAAACCATCAATTCCTAAAGCCCAAATCATAAGCCCAAGAACCTAAACACACAGCCCAAACTCATAAATCCCAAAAACCCTGAACCCCAAACCCTGGCCCCTTAAGCACTCTAATTGGGGTTAAAGTACTTATAAGTCTACTTATTACCTACTTACTAAGCTGGGGTCATAATACTTGCAAATCTACTTACTACCTACTTACTAAGTTGGGGTCATAATACTTATTCGTCTACTTATTACCTACTTGCTAAGGGATGCAGGGCCCTTTCTCCACAAGCCGATGTTGGGGGACCCATGGCTCAAGGCTTCAAGGTGTAGGCGTTTCGGTCTAGGGTTTAGGGTCTGTTAGAATTATCCAGGGTTTAGGGTTTAGGGTTTAGGGACTAGGGTTTATGGCTTATGGCTTAGGGTGAAGGGTTTAGGGCTTAGGGTTTAGGGTTTTCAAGGTATAGTTGAGGGTCCTAAACCCTAAACCCTAAACCCCTAAACCCCTAAACCCTAAACCCTAAACCCTTGAAGGTTTGGGCTTATGAAGATTGAAGCTCCCCAGCGCTTTTGGAAGTCCCTGTCGGTCATTTGGGATACTTAAAGGATCATGGGGCTTAGTAACTGAGGTTCTAAACAAGGTAACTATACTTATAATTACTTATAACCCCAATTAAGGTACTTATAAACCTACTTACTAAGTCCCAAGATCCTCCAGGTAGCTGAGAGAAGCTCAAACCATCTCCGGTGGTGCCCTGCTACTGTCCTGCCGAAGTTTGCTATGTCATGGTATATTATGGTAAATATTTTGTATGTAGTTTATGATGCTATGTTATGATATTTCGTATAATTTTTGTATACTGTAGTATATCGTGGTATATTACAGTATCTTCTAGTATGTTAGTCAGTGTCGTCAGCCTAAGCCCGAAATTCCCAGGTCCCAAAACTCCGCACGACCTAAAGCCCAACAACACCCACGACCATCAGGGTCTAGGGTTTAGGTTCAGGGTTTAGGGTGTAGAGTTTAGGGTTCAGAGTTGAGGGATTAAGGTTTAGGTTTAAGGCTTAGGGTGAAGGGCTTAGGGCTTAGGGCTTAGGGTTTAGGGTTTAGGGTTTAGGGTTTAGGGTTCACCAGGTTCCTGAGTGACCCCTGAATGATAGGGGTACCCTGTTTCCTCTTATTCGGCTTTAGTCAGGGGGGCCTATAAGAAACTGGGCAAAAGGGTACTACTCAGGAATCGAACCTACTGTTGATGATATAAATCCTGCATTACCGTAAGGACCCTGAATTATGGGAATTATGGTAGATTCCTGATTATGGGTAATGCCGGCTTGTATATCATCAGCCGTAGTTTAGGCTTTCAGGCATAGGACCATGGAGTTCAGCCATCCTAACACCCCAACACCCAAAATCTTCAGCGCAGGATAAGACCTGTTCATGTCCCATTTAAGTCCCCCAAAATAGTACGGCACCCTTATAAAAACAGAAAGGGACGCTGTGGGGCTCCGTTTTTTCACTTATGCAGTTTTGTGTGTTTTACTTACATCTGTAGTTTTGTATGTGTTTCAGTTACATCTGTTCACATTAATCTTGGTCTTATAGTTCCAGACTCTGCACCGCGAATCTTGCGCTGCATTTATTAGTTAATCTAGTTTTCTTGATCC